GAATGGGGTACGAGCCCCCGATGGGGAGGACTGGGCTGGCTCTGCAGGCTTCTGGGCGTGGAAGCTCTCCTGCAGCCCCCCAATTGCCCCTTCTCCCCAGATGGCAGCCTGCGGCAAGTGCAGCCGGGCTGATGGCTGAGTGCTGTGATGTGCCCAGTGTGGGTAGTCCAGGCAATCCAAGCCAGGACTGCTTTGCAAGTGGGGCACCCCTGAGAACTGTCTGTCCGGGGTGGGGGTCGGGACCCTTTAAGCACAGCCCTCGGCTAGCCTTAGACAGCATCTCCACACTCGAAGTCCTCCTCTGATGCCCTGCCGGCACTGCTTCCAGCCATCCTTAAGCCCGGTTCAGGGTCCACTTAATGTTGACATGCTAGTTCAAATTAGCAAAACGCTAATTCGAACTAGTTTTTTAATCTGGATCCGTTAGTTCGAATTAACTTAGTTCGAATTAACTAATTCGAACTAAGTTAGTTCGAATTAACGTTGTAGTGTAGACATACCCTCATTGCCCTAACCCCCAATATCAGCAGTATCTGCCCCAGTAATCCTGGCTTCTGTGTGAGAGGAGGTTCAGTGACATAATAATGGTGCTGCTCTTCCCACAGCCAAGGTCTCATTATGCTTCCCACCATCTTGCCCATGTTGTACCTTGGCCGGAGTGTCAGTGGAAGGGCACAGGCAGGAACGGCAGGTACCAGAGTTGTGGGGCTGGATGCAGCTGCTCTTAGTGCCTGCAGGGTGCCCTTGTGCTATTGTGCTGAGCCCCTGGAAGGAAGATGCCAACTCAGAGTGCTTCCCTGCCTATGGTAGATTCTGTGCAAGCAGAGAGGCACCAAATGGCAGGCCCTATTGGCCACAAGAGGATGACTGCTGCTGCTGGCAGAGTAGAATCAAAGCTGCAGAAGGGGAGTTGAGCTGCAGGAGCATCTACAAGCAGCAGAGAAGCAGCCCATCCTGTCTCCACCTTGGCTGGCCACAGGAACAGGCCGGCACTGCCCGGGCTGTCTGCAGGACTGACAGCTGTCCTGGGCAGCTGACAGGACCCACCCAGGCACAGTCAGTCAGGATCAGGAGAGTGGAGCATAGGCAGGGCCTGAAGTGGCCAGCCAAGGAATCATTTTCCTGATCAGACAATTCCCCTGCCTTCTTCTGGCTCAAGTAGAGCATCTGGGCCCAAGAGCAGGGCAAGTCCAGCCCCCAGGCAAGAGCTTTGTGGGCAGAGGCCATAGGGCTCTAGAGCTCTGCTGGATCCTTTCCCTCCCAGCCCTAGAGACCTGACATGTGACAGCTCAAATATGAGTCCTGGCTAGAGGCATATGTCAGTCCTGAACGTCTTAGAGCTTTCCCCTTATGAGCAGTGTGTTCCTTTTCTGCCCAAGTATGGAACAGGCCCTAAGGGAGACTGAGTTGTATCATGCAGAGTGCAGCGGAGCACTCAGTTCCTCATGGGAGTCAGCTGGGCTATTCCCAACATTGTAGTGGTGCAGGGGGAGTATGGAATTAGTGTGTCCTGGGATCTTGTACCAGCCAGAGACCAGTCTCTGGAAGTTGGGGAAGGAGCCTCCCTGGGTAGGAGACTCAGATCCTGGCTTTGGAAGCAGCAATGACACAGACCTTAATGAACAAGATCAGCACTTGGTTAATTGCTCCCCGAATAGGATTTCCAGCCTCCAAAGCTCATATGCTCTCCTGGGTGGAGCAAAGGGACGAGCTGCAGATCCTGCATCTCCAAGGCTGTGAGGAAGAGGAGATCATAAGTGACACTCACACAGGTGAGAAATCAGCTAAACTGACTCAAACCAATTTCTGTGTTTGCATAGCAGATGTTGGTTGTGTGTTTTCATCAAGTCTGACTGGCCCTTCAGCCTGTCTTCAACTCCAGGCTGAGAGTGCTGGGTGGGAAAAGAGTTACGGGGGTGCAGGGTGAACTCAGCTCATGATTATTGTATCTTTCCAGCCACTCTTTGGGTTTGTCCCCCATTTTCCGTTCACCGTTCAGCATATTTCTTTCAGCTCAGCACAGGGAATGACTCCTGTGTGGTTTCTCTCTCCATCCCAGCAGGTGATGGGATGCTGAATGAGAACAGTGAGAGGAGTCTTCAGGAGGAAGGACCTAAAGAAATGGCTCCATGTGGGGTGTTAGTGGAAAGATGTGAAGGGCATGTTTCTCAGAATCCTGAGCAAGGAGAGACTTGTGAGAGTCAGCGTAGTTTGCAAAGGCCGCAGAGAAACCATTCAGGAGCAGGACAGGATAAATCCAGTCAGAGGAGCAGAAGGTTGAGAACAAACACAGAAACTGTTCAAAAGAAAATCCCCCATCAACATTCACCTTGTGCTTGCAGTGACTGTGCAACTCTTATTAAATATGAAAGAGCCCAAACAGGAGAGAAACCCTTCAGCTGCTCTGACTGTGGGAAAAGCTTCAGTCGGCGGTCACACCTTGTTACCCATAGGAGAGCCCACACAGGAGAGAAACCCTTCAGCTGCTCTAACTGTGAGAAAAGATTTAATGACCGGTCACAGCTTGTTATCCATAGGAGAGTTCACACAGGAGAGAAACCCTTCAGCTGCTCTGACTGTGGGAAAAGCTTCAGTCACAGGTCATACCTTGTTATCCATAGGAGAGCCCACACAGGAGAGAAACCCTTCAGCTGCTCTGACTGTGGGAAAAGCTTCAGTCACAGGTCACACCTTGTTAGACATAGGAGAATCCACACAGGAGAGAAACCCTTCAGCTGCTCTGACTGTGGGAAAAGCTTCAGTCACAGGTCACACCTTGTTACCCATAGGAGAGCCCACACAGGAGAGAAACCCTTCAGCTGCTCTGACTGTGGAAAAAGCTTCAGTGACAGGTCACACTTTGTTATCCATAGGAGAGCCCACACAGGAGAGAAACCCTTCAGCTGCTCTGACTGTGGGAAAAGCTTCAGTCAGACCTCAACCCTTGTTATGCATAGGAGAACCCACACAGGGGAGAAACCCTTCAGCTGCTCTGACTGTGGGAAAAGCTTCAGTCACAGGTCACACCTTGTTATCCATAGGAGAACCCACACCGGAGAGAAACCCTTCAGCTGCTCTGACTGTGGGAAAAGATTTAATGACCGGTCACAGCTTGTTATCCATAGGAGAGTTCACACAGGAGAGAAACCCTTCAGCTGCTCTGACTGTGGGAAAAGCTTCAGTCACAGGTCATACCTTGTTATCCATAGGAGAGCCCACACAGGAGAGAAACCCTTCAGCTGCTCTGATTGTGGGAAAAACTTCAGTCAGACCTCAACCCTTGTTATCCATAGGAGAGTCCACACAGGGGAGAACCCCTGCAGCTGCTCTGAGTGTGGGAAAAGCTTCAGTCAGACCTCAACCCTTGTTAAACATAGGAAAACCCATACGGAAGAGGCTATTCACCTGCTCTCACTGTAGGAAATGCTGCAGTCAAACGTCACACCTTGTTATCCATGGGTATGTCTACACTACCCCGCTAGTTCGAACTTGAGGGGGTAATGTAGTCATCCACAATTGCAAATGAAGCCCGGGATTTGAATTTCCTGGGCTTTGTGGGAAAAGCTTCAGTCAGACCTCAACGCTTGTTAGACATAGGAAAACCCATATGGAAGAAGCTATTCACCTGCTCTCACTAGGAAATGCTGCAGTCAGAGGTCACACCTTGTTATCCATGAGAACTCTCACAGGAGAGAAATCCTTTAACTGCTCTGACTGTGGGAAATCCTGTAGCGAGAGTTCAAGCCTTGTTGCATATAGTTCAACCCACACAGGTGAGAAACTCTATAGCGGGGGTGAGCAAAATGTTCTCTGTTGGCAGAATCCAGCCTTCCTAAGACTTTGATCCTGTCCACAAGGCAGTACCAGGCCCCACCTCCAAATGAGCATGTGCTGAGGGTGAAGGAGCTTAGCCCCACCCCCCTTCATGCTTTGTAGCCACTAGAGGGGAGGCAGCGCCACACAACATGAGGCTGGCACTTGAGGCACTGCTGCCACTGCACTGCTGGCCTCCAGAGCCACATGGCCATGTCAGGGGTGCCTCTGGGGCTCTTTCTGGGCTGCGTGGCTGTAGCAGCAACACGTCCAGCCCTGGACTGAATGGGTGCAGTAGTAGTGCCTCTGGTGTCCTGGGCTGGTACTAGTCTGTGTGGCTGCTCCTCCCTCTGGCGTGACCAAGACAGTGTGACTAGAGATGTTGCTGCAAGAGGGCCCAAATCCAGATAATATTTGCTGTCCTTCCCAGACATTCCCTCCCAATCACCTCAATTCCCTTTCCCCCAGCACCAGCACCCCCAGCTTGCAATGACACCCTCCTTTTCTCTTGCACCCTCTTTCCTTGCCACACATTGCATCTTCCCCCTGCCCAGACACCTGCCTGCTTCTGCATCCCAGATCCTTCCTCAAGACCCCAACCCTTTCTTGAGGCCCCTGTCACATTATTGGATTTTAAGGTGAGCATACTCACCTTAAGATCATTGCTGTGCTCACGGGAAACTGTTTGCCCCAAATTTGGTACAGAGTGGGCCATGTGAGGTGTCAAATGAATGCTGATATTGTGCTGATTCTATCTATGGTATTCATGTACTTGTTTGGAGTTTGTATGGGGAGTTATGACTATGGGCTCTGCTGATGCTGTGTATGGACTGCCTGTCATGAGGAAGGAATGTCCAATGAGTGACTCTGCTAATCAGTATGGCTCCAAGGACAATTGTTCTCAGGGTGGCCAATACACACCTGAGGAATGTGTGTGAAAAGCTGCAAAGCAGCCAGGGCACAATGACTGCTGGCATATGAAACACGTCACTTGATCATGTGACTAGCTCCAGCTTGGGAGACACCAGAAATGAATATCAAATGCCATGAGGGGGGCTCCATCTTGTCTTCAGTCTTGCTACTTATCCCAGATGCAGCGTTGCTAAGGACAGAGACACAGGAAGGATTGCTGACCCATCCTGACATATGATGTACGCCAAAGACTTTTATGCTAGTAGTTTGTAACATCTCCGCTAAGATCCTGCATCAAGAACTTGCTGATTGATGTAGACAATGTATTCTCCTTAACAGCCTTACTCTCAACCTTTTCTTTCTTTTGTTAATACACCTTTAGATTCTAAAGGATTGGTCCATTGTGATCTTGTGGGTAAGATCTAAAGTATAAATTGACCAGGGATTCATGGCTGGTTCTTTGGAACCGGCTGGATCTGTTCTGGGTTGGAGAGATTGGGCTCTATAACCTCTCACCTGTGTGTAAGCCAAGGGCTGATTGTGGCATAGGAAGAACTAGGGTATCTGAGGGGTTTTGCTCATGAGGCTTCCTGCAGGCTGGATTGGCAGCTGAAGTGCTCAGTGTGACTGGTTTGTGGCCTGTTTTGGAAAGGTCTCCAGTCAAGGGCTGTCAGCAGTCCTGGGTTTGAGCAATTTGCCCTTAATGGATTCCCTCAGCAGTGCCCAGGCCCAGCCTGGCCCGGCCAATCACAGTCCTGCCCTCTACAAACCTCAAGATTACTGTTGCTAATAGAAACTCACTGTTAATTACATAATTAGTCAAGCCATTTTGCTAGGACTGCATCTGAGCAGTTGCAATAAACCTTTTAACTTTCTCCTGTTAATTGATCAAACTTTATTTTAAATTAAGTAAAATATTTATGTCCAATACATACTGTGGAGGTAGGCCTCGCTAGCCTGGCCTAAGACTGAACCGTACACAGTGCATCCTGCATCAGAAGCGAGCTTCCTAAGCAAGTTGAGCACGAAACCACAATGCTGTTAAACAAACAAACAAAAAATCGCACTGCTTGCAATTTGTTATCGGGTCAAGCAGATGTTACCATCTAAGAGTAAAGTGCCTTACTTCCTCTTTTCTCTGTAAATTTCCACTGTGACTTTGTAAGAAGGTATAAATATCTCAGACATTGAGTGTGAGGAGAGGCTTATATTGGGAAGGGATAACTCCCTGCTGTCTGCAACAACCTCCACCCCCCACAGCTGGGATATTAAAATGGTTTTGTCTGACTTGAAACCTAAAGCTAGCATGTGTGCGACAGAAATCGCGGGATGATGCCTGGGTAGTGATGGGTCATGATCACCTCGGCGACAGAAATCGCGGGATGATGCCTGGGTAGTGATGGGTCATGATCACCTCGGCGACAGAAATCGCGGGATGATGCCTGGGTAGTGATGGGTCATGATCACCTCGGCGACAGAAATCGCGGGATGATGCCTGGGTAGTGATGGGTCATGATCACCTCGGCGACAGAAATCGCGGGATGATGCCTGGGTAGTGATGGGTCATGATCACCTCGGCGACAGAAATCGCGGGATGATGCCTGGGTAGTGATGGGTCATGATCACCTCGGCGACAGAAATCGCGGGATGATGCCTGGGTAGTGATGGGTCATGATCACCTCGGCGACAGAAATCGCGGGATGATGCCTGGGTAGTGATGGGTCATGATCACCTCGGCGACAGAAATCGCGGGATGATGCCTGGGTAGTGATGGGTCATGATCACCTCGGCGACAGAAATCGCGGGATGATGCCTGGGTAGTGATGGGTCATGATCACCTCGGCGACAGAAATCGCGGGATGATGCCTGGGTAGTGATGGGTCATGATCACCTCGGCGACAGAAATCGCGGGATGATGCCTGGGTAGTGATGGGTCATGATCACCTCGGCGACAGAAATCGCGGGATGATGCCTGGGTAGTGATGGGTCATGATCACCTCGGCGACAGAAATCGCGGGATGATGCCTGGGTAGTGATGGGTCATGATCACCTCGGCGACAGAAATCGCGGGATGATGCCTGGGTAGTGATGGGTCATGATCACCTCGGCGACAGAAATCGCGGGATGATGCCTGGACGGTGCAAACTTCCCCACTAGTGTACCTGTGTTTCCCTGTGTAAATGAGGTAATAGGTACTGGACAGTCAAAGGAGATTCCCGTTCCCCCGTTAAGGGGACTCCAGCATACTATATGTACGTGCATTGCTCTCCTAAAACTTGCAAGTTTCTGGATAAGTGGGATGTGTACACATAAAATGATTCATCTAAACAGTTTCTACTGAAAGGTACTTTTAATATAGGTAAAATAGTGCACTTGAAGGGTGCCTTGGAATCCAGACGATCTAAGATACCCCAGGTTCAATGGGATGCCTTTTTCAATTGGTATGAGGAGGTGTCCAAAAGGAAAACTGAATCTCAAATTAGGAGTCTAAAAGACTCGCAAAAAACAAAATGACAAAAATTTAAAAAAACCTTAAATTATATTTTAAAAAAATCAAGAAAAATTGGCTACTCCTTGAAATCTGATCTGCAGTGGTAGAGGAAAATGTCCAAGCACTTAAATAAATCCCGGGTAAGGCGTCTAAAGGGCTCCCCCAAAAAATTAAAAAGCCAATTGAAATCTTTTAAAACAATCAAATTTAAACCTTTGGCTACAGACACTTTGTTAAATCTACTAAAAAAAAGAGATAAGAAATTCTATTAACACTTAACTGGTTAACTGCATACAATAATGGAATATATACATTATAAATTTATAAAAGCTGCACCCTTAAAGGTTAAATTTGCTCTCTAAGAAAACAAATCATACACTTTTGGCTTGCTTTCAGATCCAAGGTTGTATGAATAACAAACTGCCTGTTTATTTCAGAAAAATGTGGGGCCTGCTGTCCCCCATAAGTAAGCTTGTACCATTGTATATGATTCTTTTCCAGAAAAAAAAATCTTTTTGATTGCTGGAATAGTAACTAGCAAATGCCTTGTTTTAAAAAAGAGTTTGTAGCAGTAAATTCTCTCATCACAATAATTTGAAGCTTTACACATTAAAAGCCCTAATCAGCAGTACAAGAGAGAAACTAAAACATGCCACCTTTAACTTAATAATTGAACAATAAAGTAACAGCAGGCTAATCAAAATTAGCAAAGACATCTGTAAAGTATTCTAAAATATAATGTGCCACCCCCATGGAGGTAGAAATATTTTCTTTGTCTTTCAGAACATCAAAAAGCGCTGGTACCAGGTTAAAAAAAAAAGCAACAACCATGGTTCTCTGTCATGACATAATGTTGTTTTTGTGGTGGTTTGTGTTGTTTTAATATGTTTTGCAAATGTACATAGAATATTGTTTTTAAATAAAAAAATATTTTAAGTAAAGCAAAAGTGTAACTTTAAACAAAAAAAATTAATAATTGGGCCCAATCAAATGGCAATTCAAAATTTAGTAAAAAATAGTATTGTAAAAATTGTTTAAGCTAAAAGAATGTTAACAATGTCTCCACTGCTCCTGCTACTCTTATGGAGCTGAAGAAAAAAAGCAAAATTTGCAGTGTGAAAAGGAGGCTTGAAAGTGGGGTACCAATCCCCTTCCACTGGGTTTGCTTTGTTTAAATTGCCATACTAAAGAAATATTCAGCTTTTGCAACTTGCACACTAATTATAAAAGTGGTTTAGCCAGAGATGACAAAGAATCTGT